TTTATCAACACAAGATCTGGTGTGAAGACCAATAATTATTAATGAATAATTATATCTATCATAAAACGCATGCGATTGTGTATAAATTTCGATATCTCAAAATTTCTATTAACAACAGCATCTGGTGTGAAGATGGGATATATCGGGCCACTCCACTCCTAACTTCACTACAAAATCTCATATTTTTATACCCTTCACCTTGAAAAGGAGGGTATATTAACTTTGTCATTCCGTTTGCATCCCTAAATATTCGTCGAAAACCCCATAAAGTATATTTATATGTTCATAATAAGCATAAAATTCTAAGTCGATTTAAAGATGTCCATTTGTCTTTCTGTTTAAATCACGAAATTTGGGAGAACAATTTGTATTGTGTCTAGGATGATTTGGTATGGCCGCCATATAACGGTACCTCCAGATATTCAGTATTTTGTTGGTATATGTTGGTCATAATGCGCTTTAGCTCGGGTGGCGGAACATTGTATGCCTAGGACAACGTTTTCGTATAACTCTCATTTAAGACTACCTCCCGAAATTTGATATGTTGCTGATTTTTGCCACATTTTTCCAGGGATTTGTCTAGTATTTGATATTTGTAGTTCCTAATGGATTCTAGCTCCGGTGACGGAACATTGTCTGTATAGGTCCACGTTTTCGTATAGCCGACATATAACGGTACCTCCCGATATTCTGTATTTTGACTTTTGCCACATTTTTTCATGGATTTGTCTACAGATTGGTATATGTAGCAAAGGTGGCGGAACATGTATGTGTAGGTCTACGTTTTTGTATGGCCCCCACATAATGGTACCTCCCGATATTAGTTCTTTTGATGGTATTTGTAGGTCATAATGGATTCTAACTGCGGTAGCGCAACATTGTATATATTGTTCCACGTTTACGTATAGCCCCTACATAATGGTAACTCCGGATATTCATTATTTTGATGATTTTTCCCACATTTTCCACGGATTTGTCTAAAAAATTGATATTTGTAGTCCATAATGGGTTCTAACTCCGGAGGCAGAATGTTCGGTATTTTGACAATCCTAGTCACATTTAACCACGAAATTGTTTTTAATTCGGTTTTTAAGAAAATGTTGTAGATGACAATTCTCAAAGTATGAAATTCTCTATAGAGGTTCCCGTTTTGGTGTGGCCCCCATACAACGTCCTCGCCCCCTTTATGGTTTTTTGAAACACGTTTGAGTTCTGTTCGGCCCGGCCGAACTTAATGTTTTTTTACTTTGTACAAATAAAATCCCAACAATTACTATTTTGTAAGGAATTGGTTCAAATGTAAGTGAAAAGACCGGAGGTTTCATGACTTCATCAGAACTCAGAACTAGTGATATCATTCAATCATATAGAATAAATTCCATTAAATTTTGCTCCTCGAACCTGATCCATATTACAGTGAGTAATAATCGAGCCAAATCGTGTAATCTTTCTTGAGATTTATATTGGGGTTCAGGCAGATGGGCACGCTATTTGCGACCGACATGTTTTAAAACCAATTTCATGATCAATCAATAATTTTCTATATCACATTTAAACTTATTTTTATTTCAAATTACTGTAAAAACTACTGTATGCTTTTCGATGATATTATTATTTCACCTCAAATGAGGCGTAAACCAGATTTCTTTCAAATAACATAAATAAAATAGGAAATTTATGCATAGCTAAATGCTAATTTATTCAAAACTAAAAATCTATATAAATTTGCCGTCTCAATAATAACTTTTGTATCCCATTGGGAACAGGTTGGAAACAGATCTCTATTGTCAGTGCAATCAATAACTCCGTTTAAGATTTGGATAAAATTCCAACATTTCAAATTCTTCCAGTTTTTTAAAAAATCTACATTTAATATGATTATCTGAAAAATGTTTCACTTTTTCCATAGAAAAGAAAACAATAGCCGAAATCCGTATGACACACATGCTCCGTATTTACCGATTTTTTTTTTTTTTGATAGAACGCCGTTTAGATATGACGTCAATTCTGTCAAGTTTCTCTTTAAAATATAATAAAACTAAACAAACAAAACCCCGGCTAACCTAGCAACACATAATTGAACAAAAAAAATACCAAAAGAGTTAAATTCATAACACATCGCATCATCTTCATTGAAATTTCAATTTTAGAAAGTTTCAAATTATTTTGTATGGAGGCAAACGCCACTTTTGATTTTGTTCCAATTGTAAGTTTTTGTTGTTGTAGTAGTCTGAATGGTGAATGGGAGGGCGGACGGAAAGCATACATAATGTGAATGAGATTCATTCATACTCCTCGAGTATTGAAAATGAATACAATTAAGTATGTTAATGTGATTATTATACGTACCCTCTTCGCATATGTTGATACAGTTTTCGATTTGTAAAATTGCCTCGATTTACCGTTGGGATTTTAACAATTAATTTGAATAAATAGAATTAGGTCAGGATCATCATAAAACATAAAATTTGTTATAAATTTTAACATTTTCAATAATAACAAGTAAAAAGCTTGAATACCCTCCATCATATGGAACGAATTTGACAATTTCAAAAAAAAAATCATTCAAATCTTAAAAATACCGAATGTAGCCGTTATTTTAGGGTCTATACGACGACGTAGACCTGCAAAGGCAACTTTTGTCATCAGCCATTACAATATTCAAATTTGAAATTTGAAAATCGTTGAATAATGTAGCTAAAATCATCAAAATACCGAATAGGTAGGGAGGTACCATTATATGGGGGCTATATCAAAACGTGAACCTCCACAGACAATTTTCTGTCTTAGACTGTAGTATCTATTAAAAATACCGAAAATATGAAGGTACCATTATATGGGGCAATACCAAAAGGTGGACCTGCAGGGTGAGATAAGAGAACTGCAACAAAGCCAAACGCCATAATTTTTATTTTTTTTTTTGCAAATTTTATTGAATGAAAGCAAAAAATGTCGGAAATAGCATCACAATAGTCCAACGGATTGGTATCCGGAGATTTTGGTGGCCATTGTGAGCTGGAAATGAAGCGAGGAACCTCATTTTGTAACCATTCTTGGGTGGCGCGTGCTCAGTGCGATGGTGCTGTGTCCTGTTGGAATGTCCAAGATTTGCGTGCCAAAGGCTTAAATACAACCTCCAGAATTTTCGTTATAATATTCGGCATTTATTCTAATGCCACGGTCGATTAATACGAGTGTTCACCACTTTCGGCCAAGCGAAACAACTCTTTAGCTCTTTTGAGTCTAGTATCTTTCTGTTGCGGTGTAAGTTCTTGCACTTTTTTTTGAATTTCAATGGCTTTACCCAAGCTCATTTTTCAGTATTTGTCGAATGGAATATTGCGATATGTTCAGCTCACGTGCCATTTTTCGGTCACTGCGATGCGGGATTCGATCAAGTCACTTCTTTACTTTTCGAACCATTTCTGCTGATGTTGCTGTTTTCTTCCGTCCACTTCATTGACGTCGGGCTGCGCTATCAGTATCACGGCAACGAACGATGGTACGAGACACAAAAGATTTATTCACATTTAAATGCTAAAGTTCTCTAACGATAGCCACTTTTGTTTTTCCAGCCAAATATAAAGAAATCACACTATCACGCTTGAATTCCATAACGAATAACTATTTTCTGGAAAATTCTCACCATAATGCTTTTGTACTCTTGTATACAATATAATAAGCTGTCACTGGAATAATTCTAACTGCTGCCGGACGAGTGGCTTAGAAATGATAACAGTCTGAAGTTAGTTGCTGTTTTTTTATCTCACCCTGTAGTTTGTGGGGTCTAAAATGTATATTTCGAGGTGTTACAAACGGAATGACAACCTTTATATACCCTCCATACTATGGTGGAAGGTATAATAATTTGTTTATTTTTCGACCTTTTCCAAATCTCGATGATAATTTTATTTAAAAGAATTTAAAAAAAATATTTTTTTTGAGAATTCCGCATATCAATGGCCTCAGCTTCCATTTTCAGAGGTAGAAGTGTTCATTCACATTGTGTATTTCTTTGTCTTCCGTTGCCAGAGAACTACCAAATAATTTACATCTTAATTTGGGAGAAATTCAATAAAAAAAACCTGCACATCTTTAAAAATGTTTCTATAAATAAGTCATTAAGAAAATACCCCATTTTCCATAGTAATTCTCCACGAAAAAAATGCCAAAGCAAAGAGGCGTTAAATGAAATGTTTCACATTCCCTTAAGAAAAACAAATACCCACAATTATATACGGCACGATCGTGACTCTCAATGAAAACAAAACGTTTTTTTTTTCTTCTCTCGCCCCCAACAAAATTTCAACTTGGAGAAAACACATTTTCCAATTGTTGTTCGTTCTCCGTGCGGTTCCCGCTGTATACGAAAATAAAACATTTTCACCAAAGTGAAAAAAATAATCAAGTTAAGGCTACAGTAACAACGAACGACAACGAGAAAATACGTCAGTCTCTTAAATTCGGCTAACTTGTACGCAACAAAAAAGTAATATCTTTGGGGTTTTTAATTTTATAAAAATTTGTATTTTCCCTTGGAGAGTTTTTCACAAAAAAAAAACACTGTGTAACAGAAACAAGACAAAAGTAATTAAAATAATTCAAACAAATCGAATGGCAAGAAGAACAAATTTTCCATTACCTCAAATAGTTTGGGGTTGTGGTGCCCAAATTTTCCCAACATAAAAATGCAGAGCATCTTCTTATTTGAAAGAAAAAAAAAAAAACATTTTTCTTTTCATAGAGATTGCATAATTTTAGAAAAGAAAAAATTTTGAGTGTAATTTTCTTCAATACTGTAGCTGGCTGGCTGGCGGCATGTGTGCAAAATATTATTATTGCTGTCATTGGTATTGTTGTTGGATTTCTTTTCAACACAAGTTTCGCTCATTTTCTTGCTATATTTGAAAATTCACACATACATCTTGACTACACCATTTCCCTAAATAACAAAACATAACTACTTTTTGCATTTTTTTATTCTTTTCTTCTTATTTTAGTGGAGTCGCTCATCTATTGGCGTGATGTGAAAAAATCGGGCATTGTTTTCGGTGCTGGCCTTGTTACCCTTTTGGCTATCTCATGTTTCTCCGTCATCAGTGTATTTGCCTATTTGTCACTGCTGCTTTTGGCCGGCACCATTGCATTCAGAATCTACAAATCAGTAATGCAAGCCATACAAAAGACCTCAGATGGACATCCCTTCAAGTAAGTAATCAAGTAATTTAATCTCTATTATGTGTGCGACAACCGCTAACCGCTTTTTTATTTTTATTTCTTTTAAAACCAGAGAATACTTGGAATTTGACTTGACTTTGTCACAGGAGAAAATCCAAAACATTGCCGGTGTTGCTGTGGCCCACATAAACGGTTTCACCGCTGAATTGAGAAGATTATTCTTGGTTGAAGATTTGGTCGATTCCATTAAATTCGGTGTCATTTTGTGGGTTATGACCTACATTGGAGCCTGGTTCAATGGCATGACATTGGTCATTTTGGGTAAGTAAAGAATTATCAGAAAAAAAAAGAGGCGAGACGATGAAATTTTGGTTAGTTATTTCCAGAAGAAAAAAAATATGAATAAAATATTTTGTTATTTTAGGTTTGCCAGGCTCAATCCTTGTTAACAATGTTAAAATTGTATTGTCCACAGAGGGAAAAGACAGGAAAAGAAACAAACATGAATACAATATTTTGTTATATTAAATTTGTCACGCAAGTTTAATTTAAACTAGGTTTTCGTAGGTTTTCGTGTACGGGAAACTAGGTTTTCGTGTACGGGAAAAGTGTTCAAGTAAATAGTTGCTAAGCTAGTTGCTAGTTGCAGGTTCTGGAACACCACTAGAAAAAAACAAACATGTCAATATTAAATTTTGTTTAACTTTGAAATTTCGTATCCTCGTAGTACGTAGTAAGCGTGAAACTAACGACAGAATTCTCCCTTCTGATCAGAAGGAACTAAATACTTATTTATATTATCAATAGTTGTAGAAAACTGTCCTTAAACGAAAACAGTCCTGCTATTTTTTAGATTAGGGATTCTCACACTGCACTGCTTAAAAGCTTAATATATTAACCTTTGTCAAAAATATTCAAAAATCAAGTAAGCAAAGGCTATAGTCGTGCGGGGCCGACCATGTGATGCCCTACAACACTACAATATATTGGAAAACCTGCTTAAGCCCAAAACCATGAAATAATGTCATACAGTCCTGCACAAATGTTACCTTTGGTTTTTACCGCGACATTTGGCCTATATTTACCCCTTTCTGTCGTGTTGATTTGAATTCAGAACAATTTTACATTTACCCGCTATATATAATCCAATGATCCGTAGAACGGGAAAATAAGGAAGTTTTAATTGTTGATCCATTTGAACCCCAAAAACATACATCTTTAAAACAATAGGCTTCTATGCTGACCCTAAGCCAACCTCTATGCAAAATTTAATGAGAATCGGGCGATAATTGCAACCTGTATATAATACCCTCAACATATAGTGTCGGAGGGAGTACAATATGTACAAATCAAAATTTTAAGTCAAATATGAAAAAATCGCATGCGATAAAAATTTTGACTAAAAAATATTCAATGGCCGAACAAAATGTTAGGCTATTTTCATGTCCTAAACTCTAGCCTCATGCTAAATTCTGATTGGTCTATAATTGCGACCTGTAGAGCAACTGCAAAATCAGGATATTTTTCTGGTTTTGGTCCATTTCAACCCCTAAATATTTTGTGATCATCTCGAAAAACAATAGGGTTATATTCTGACTCTAACCCCACCTCCACTTTCGATTTCGTGAGGATAATTGCGACCTGTAGTTTGATTTCAAATTAACATGGACAGACGGACGGACGGACATACATAGCTAGATCGACTCAGCTGGGCGAGATAGGAAGCTCCATATATAGTTTCTTATGTCGGGGAGCAATATTTCCAGGTGTTACATTATTTTTGGCCCAATCAAACTTATAATACCCCCTACACAGGGTAGGGTATAATTGGTTGTTAGGATGTCCTGCAAAATCCACCTTACTATTCATGTTTATATTAACTTTTTTTGGCTAGATTTTTAAAATTCAACCATCTATTTGGAATAATTCTTCTTTACCTCTGAAAAAATGTATTTATAACATAAAATATTAAAATAATCTTGTATATTTCTATTTTTAGCCTTTGTCTCCTTGTTCACATTGCCCAAGGTCTATGAAAACAACAAACAATCCATTGACACTTATTTGGATTTGGCCAGAAGCAAAGTAGCTGAGGTTACTGAAAAGTAAGTCACAATTGTCACTCCAAATAAAAAAATCAACAACACTTACCCATTTCCATTTATCAAATTATGTTTTAGGATCAAGGCAGCCATTCCCATTGGCAACAAGAAGCCAGTTGCTGCCGAAACAGACAAGGACAAGTAAATCTTAACAACAAAACAGAAAACGCAACCATTATTTAAATGATATACATTTGTATTAACATCGTTAGAAGTAAACAAACAAACAAAGAACGCAAATTTTTACCCAAATTGCAATTACTTTTCTTTTTTGTGTTTATAAGAAAAAGATAAAAATCCAAAATTAATTTATATAGAGAGAAAAAAACAAAACAAACAAATGGAAAACTCAACTCATATTTAATGGAAGAAAATTATAAGATGATGAAAACAACAATAGACAGCCAGAACAGCAACAACAACAACAAAATTTCAAAACAACCATTTTTAAACTTAAAACGTAACAATAACAAAACAAAAAGAAATGAACAACAGCTAAAAATAAAAATTGTTAGCATTTTTGTTTTGATTTTTCCAAAATAATACGAACGAAGTTATTTATTTCTGAATTCTTGTTTTTATATTTTTTATAAATTTTATTTTTGTTTTTTTTTTTAATATTCTCAAATTGTATTCAATCGTAGCTAACCTAACTTGTTTTTGTAATAGCAATGATAATTGTGAACGTCATACATTTAGTATCCTTTATTATTGATATGATATGATTATTGATGGATTGATTGATACGTTACTAAACTTAATTATAATGTTTTATTTTTTAAAACTATCCAATTTTTTACTTTGCAAATATTATTATGATTGATGATCGTGTGTTTTATTCAAGGAGAATTGTATTTGTGTGGTCCTGTGATCGTTCTCTTCTCCCCAAAGCCTATATATCTATCATACTCTAAATCCTTGCGTTAAGCTGTGTTATTTCCTGGATTTTTTTTCTGAAAAAAAAGAAGCCAGCTGATCAAACCTAAAATCTAGTTTGTGGGACCACCGTAAACAACAATGCAATTTCGAGCTGTTATTATTTTTTAGCTTATATACAGATTTATTTAAACAAAAACAAAAAACCCATTAAGAGAAAACACAATCTTTCCCAATTTGTTGATTATTTCCGAAAAAAGAAAACAAAAAAAGAAAAACTTTAGCTTAACTTTTAGTTAAAGAAGACTTAAATTTATAATGACATCATTATCCAGCTATTTAGCTACATTTACTTGAAGAGAAATAATATTTAAAAACCAGAGAACTTAAAAAACTATATTAAAAATAAATAAAAAAACTAAAAAATACCAAAACCATAAACGTGAATTATATGTATGTGAATTATTTTTCTAACAATAGGTATTCAAAATTGAATGGCCACAGTTAAAGTTATCAGAGAGTAATGTTTGTCCAAATGCATGGTTCTGACGGCAATCGTTATTGAATAGTTCTTCTGCATTTAGGTTTTTAAAAATGTGTAATACTACACAAGGTGAGATAAAAAACCTGCAACAAAGTCAAACAGCATAATTTTTACATTTTTTTAAATTTTATTGAATGAAAGCAAAAAATGTCGGAAATAGAATAAAATTTTAGAATGAGTTTAGGTTTGTTTGGTCACCTTTGGCACGAATTATGTCCTTCAAACGGCCAGTGAAACCTGTATTTTGGTCCATTCCCGGCGAAGCGCTTGCTTGAGGTGATCAACACTTTTGTAGTTTTTAGTGCCAACCTTGCTTTTCAAAATAGTTCAACGGATTGGTATCCGGAGATTTTGGTGACCATTGTGCTCTGGAAATGAAGCGAGGAACATCATTTTGTAACCTTTCTTGGGTGGCACGTGCTGAGTGTGAAGGTGCTGCATCCCAAGGCTTTAATACACCCTCCAGAATATATTTGCAATAATATTCGGCGTTTATTCAGACGCCATGGTCGAATAATACGAGCGGAGAGCGACCATCGGTTGTTATGGTGGCCCACACCATCACCATGGCCGGCGCTTGAATTCTGGTAGCCAACCGAAGTTGAGCATTTTCAGCTTACCTCTTTGGCAAGTAAAAACGATCATTTTGTTTGGTTATTCGTTTCCTGGACAACAAATATTTTCTTTTCGGAGAAAACCAAATTCGGCAGTTCACCATTTTCGGCCAAGCGAAGCAACTCTTTAGCTCTTTTGAGTCTATTTTATTTCTGTTGCTGTGTAAGTTCTTGAATTTCAATGGCTTTACCCCGAGCTCATTTTTCAATATTTGCCGAATGGAATATTGCGATATGTTCAGGTCACGAGGCCACTGCGACGCGGAGTGCTCTAATGATTGCCACTTGCGGTTTTCCAGCCAAATATAAAAAATCGCACTGTCACGCTCGAATTCCATCACGAATAACTTTTTTTCTGGATAATTCTCACCAAAATGCTTTTGTACGCTTGTAAACAATATAATGAGCTGCCACTGGAATAATTTGAACAGCTGTCGGACGAGTGGCTTAGAAATGACCGCAGTCTGAAGTTGGTTGCAGTTTTTTTATCTCACCCTGTACCTACATACATTCAGAACTTATATCATGTCAAAAATGTATTAACTTTCTCCATCTACACTACTTTATGTAGTCTTCATAAAATTTCCATAAAGAGGATTTTAAACTAAAACACAGGAACAACTATTGATGGGGTTATATTCCTTCAGCTCTTCAGATTTATTCTGGTATCTAAATAGCGAAGCATGAAATAGAAAATGTGCACAGATATAAAACATTTGTTATAATGGCAGCGGTGTGGCTCTCAACGTTAAAAACATCAGTCACTGTATGTCTATGTACAAAGTTTTAAATCATCAAAATGTTAATTTGATATTGTGATCTATTTCATATTTAATTGCCTGTAGATTTACGAAATTCTTTTGACTTGACTTGGCCATTTAATTTTGCAATACTTTTAAAGGCTGTTGATGTTGACATATTGATTTTTTGTTAGGCTATGGTTTATATATGGGGTTTATTACACCCAGATCCATAAACTCATTTTGGAGGCCAATATCTATGTGTCAGCTCAATGCTCTATGTACAACTGTCCAAATTTTAACAGGTAGTATGAACTCAAAATAAAAACAACCGAAATGACATGCACTCATTTATATTGCGTACACTCTCATATACATACAGCTTGCTAACATTGTTGCATACATGTCAGAAATGCATATCGTCATTATAAATGTCTAAATCAAGAAATTTTAAACCAAAAGTGGATAAAAGCCGGATCTAGTAAATTTCTGAAGGTTCTGAAATGGAGTATTAATTTTTGTATGTGTGATTTAAAAGCATTGGTAGAGCTTAATGTTTATTCCTTTATATATTTCTCAGAAAGGTTAACATCTAAAAGCACAAGAATAAACAATCTAGAATATTTTAGGTTAAAAAGTCTTACTACATTTACATGACTTGACTATAACAAGTAGTTTTACATTTATGATGACGATATGTTATTTGTTAAAACAATTTACTTTCATTGTAATGTTCCGTTCCAAAAAGGCTTATATAATATATACATATAAACAACTAAATATATTTATAAATAACAAAATAGCATCATTGCCATTAAATGATTTGCTTTTGTTTCTAAGTGTTTTTTTTTTCGGGAGTCTTTGTTATAATAAAATGCCTTATAAATATGTACTTACTTTTATTCTGTTTACATATAAAACGAAAAAAAATGAAAATATGAAAGAAATATTCATGTTTTCAAGATTTTGTTAAATGCTCTTAGATTGCGCTCATCGTAAATTAATATGCCTTATTAGATTTGTTTTGTTTTTAGCCTCAAAAAATATGTTTTAAATAAAAAAAACATAATTGTAATATTGATTTTTGAAAAGCCTTCGTAAGCGCATCATCCATCTCATGTCCATTGACATCTGCATGCACCTTAGTTTAGTTAATCATTTTTTTTTTTCGTATTACTTAGACATAAAAAAATTTGAAAAAAAAAAATCAAAGAAATAATTTATACGAAAGAAATCATTAAAATAGCTACATAAAAAATTATAATGAAGATGGAGTCCATAAAACAAAGTTGGTTTTCAACATACACAAAAAATATGAATAACAAATGAAAATTGAAATCGATTTAAATCCAAATAAAAATTCAAACCTTAATAAATAATTATACAAAAGTGGTGGATTTATTTGTGGTTAGCTACAAAATGTAAGTATTTTGAAAAATGTCTTATAATGTGGGTACAGAAGTATAACAATTTTCACTATCTGCTAGTATATTTAATAGTCAATAGTGTTAATTTTTTCTTCATTTGGAGTTTAATGATGTGATTTCCTGCCGCCTTGATCCGTATTAGAATACTTGTCTTTTTTTACTTTAGTTCACTCCACGGATCTTACTATAAACTAGTTCATTGTTTTCAACTCTAAAATAGGTGAGCAAATACAAATAAGAATCTAAATTGCGACCTGCGTGCGACTTCAAAGTTACACTTTATATACAGGGTGAGATAAAAAAAACTGCAACAAAGTCAAAGGCCATAACTTTTAATTTTTTTTTTAAATTTTGTTGAATGATAGCAAAAAATGTCGAAAATAGCATCAAATTTATGAATAAGTTTAGATTTGTTCGAATTGGTCACATTTGGCACGAATTATGGCCTTCAAACGGCCAGGGAATTCCCATTCCCGGCGAAGCGCTTGCCTGAGTTAATCGACACTTTGGTATTTTTTAGTGCCAACCTTGCTTTCCAAAATGCTCCAAACAAAAGTCTCCAACGGATTGGTATCCGGAGATTTTGGTGGCCATCGTGTGCTGGAAATAGAGCGAGGAACCTCATTTTGAATGATTATTCTTGGGTGGCACGTTCTGAGTGCGAGGGTCCTGTTGGAATGTCCAAGGTCCTGGTGAGTCCTGTTGGAATATCCAAATTCTGCGGCCAAACTGTTTGCGTGGCCAAGGCTTTAAAACCACCCTCCAGAATATTTTCGCGATAATATTCGGCATTTGTTCTGATGCCACGGTTGATTAATACGAGAGGAGAGCGACCATCGGCTGCTATGACGGCCCACACCATCACCATGGCCGGCGCTTGAGTTCTGGTGGCCAACCGAAGGTGCACATTTTCAGCTGACCTCTTTGGCAAGTAAACACGATCATTTTGTTTGTTTACAAACTGCTGGACAACGAATGTTTTCTCATCGGAGAAAACCAAATTCGGCAGTTCACCACTTTCGGCCAAGCAAAGCAACTCTTTAGCTCTTTTGAGACTATTTTCTTTCTGCACTTTTTGGAATTTCAATGTCTTTACCCCGAGCTCATTTTTCAATATTTGTCGAATGGAATATTGCGATATATTTATCTCCGAGCCATTTTTCGGCCATTGCGACGCGTGTTTTTTTAAACCATTTATTTCTGTTTTCTTCCGTCCACTTCCTTGACGTCGGGCTACTCTACCAGTGATGGTACGAGACACAAAAGATTTATTCACATTTAAATGCTGGAGTGCTCTAACGATAACCACTTGTGGTTTTCCAGTCAATTATAAAGAAATCACACTATCACGTTTGAATTCCATCACAAATAACTTTTTTTCTGAAAAATTCTCAACAAAAAGCTTTTGTACGCTTGTAAACAATATAATGAGCTGTCATTGGATTAAAAACAGATTTGAAATGGCAGGAGTCTAAAGTTGGTTGCAGTTTTTTCATCTGACCCTGTATATATAGTTCCCACACAATTACCTCTGATTTGATGTGAATGTAGTACCATAAATTCTTAGTTTGTCCAATAATTCTGAATTTTAAATCAGAAATCAAGTTTCGACTAGAATAAAGTCTACCAGATTTGGTGAAAATCGGATTAGATAGGGCTATAAATTCAAAATATGACGATATTTCTATTTAAAACGAGATGTCACATGCAGCCCAGAAATATCTCTGCCAAATGTGGTGAAATTTGATTCAAATTTATATATAGTTTCAATATATTTGTACCTTACGATTGTATATTTATGATATAATGTGATCCGGAACCAAAAAAACGTAGAAGACTTTTCATGGTAAAAATAGCAAAACTAGTAAATTGTTTTAAGTTCTGGTAAATATGCGGTTCCACGTATCATATAGTAGGCTTTGTCCGACTTTTTTCCTCCTTTGCTAGTTTTTAATTATTTTAACACATATTCTCATATAAATATTACCATTTAATTTTCGCAGTGTTGAAAATGGTAACTCTGTAATAATTTCTATATCAATTTACGCTAAATTAAACACCCTTATAGCATGTTTCCATTGGAAACCGAACAACGTTGTTCGCTCTCAGAATTATGTACACG